GCTTTAGGTGGGACACACTTGAGTCCACAGTATCTCTCCTGTTGCCTCTGGGTTTTTCTAAGAATTTTTTTCTTCAACACAGTCTAAGACTTGTAGTGTCTTTTGCTGCAGTCCACTATTACTAAAATGGGGCCTGGTGATGTGGTAGGGGGTGGGATCAGGAAGCAGTCCACAGTCTTGCAATCAAATCTGCCTGGTTGCGTGTTCCCAGGCTGTGACCTTTACAAGTGTTTCTTGTCTCCCCTTGGGTGAGACAGGAAGGCTAGAGGGGCTGGAGCTGGCTAACTGCTTTTCCTCAGGTAGATATGGAAAAGTTACTATGAAGAGTGCTCTGGGTATATCTCAGAATAGTTACTTTTCCCCTCTGCCTGCCAGAAACAGAAGGGGGTTCTCTCAGATCTTCCCCTTGAGGACTTGGTGGGGCTCCTGGTGATGAAATCCACCAAAGCGCAGGGCCCTTGACAGGGGCCAGGCTTTCTCATTCTCCTTCAGCCTCCAGCGAGCCTCAACATGACCACTGCTCCTGCAGTTCATGTCTGCGGGCCCTGCACCAGGTGAGCACGTCTTGGCTGCAACTCCATCTACTGTCCTGGGGATGGCAGTTTTCCCTGTGACCTCGATTCTCTTTTGGGTCTGAAGAAGGTCATTGATCCTTAATCCATATCCTGATAACTTTAAAAGCAATTGCAAACACTCCAAGCCTTTTCTGGAGGTTTGCACTCCCCTGTAGATAGCTACAGAGAACTTAAATCAGGCTCCAGGTTCCTGCAGGGAGCGAAAAGTCCACCCTTCCAGCTCTGCACTCTGAGGCTTCTGACCTCTGCAGAGCTAGAACTTGCTATCTGGACCCATAACACAGGAGTCAGCATACACGTGTGTCCACGCAACCCCCACACCCGGGTAGGAGGACCCACCGGCAGCCTCCAGGTAGTGAACCCAAGGACTCCTCACATCCAAGAGGACTGTGCCCTGGGAGGGTCTGTCTGAGGAGGGCTTCCTCATTTGTCAAGCCTTGGAACTTAACCACGCAACCAAAATCCACCTACATACCCCAGATGCAGCCATGGAGCAGCAGACCTGGAAGCCTTTTCTGGGGCTTGCTCTACCACACGTGTTCCCCATGGGTCTCACCAGGGGCTGCATACCCCCCAGGAAGTCACATCTCAGGAGGAGCCAGGTTTCAATTACCTAAGGTCATGTCCCTAGCCCCCACCCCTCCCAATCTTCTCCACCTTTCTGCCCCCTCTCGGGAGTGGCTCTTGATCCTGTCTCAGGATCCCTCTTCTCCTTCACCCCAAAAGCTCACCTCTAACTCAGCAGTCAGAGCCACATGTTTAAAGCGATGGTCTTGTCGCTGAGGCCTAAGGGAATCCTGAAGTCCCCACTCCTCTTTCCACCCCAGCACTGGGTCTCCTCACTGCACCTCGAGCATGGCCACCCTGGGGGCCCTCTACCAGGAAGCAGTCCCCAGACGCTCCCAATGCCCACAGCCTCCCAACACTAAGCACCTCCATCCCTTCTCTCCCCACCCATACCCGCTCACCTGCAGTTGTGGTCATCATCTAGCTTGCCACCGACGAATTAGAAATGAAGGTCTAAGAGTCCAGCATCTTTGCCAGTTCTGTCGTCTGGTCATCCCAGCCCTAAACCAGGCAATACATGAAGTAGCAACATGGCTTCCAGCCTCAGGCCACCGGATGCCACTGGCTGCACAGAGGGGCTGGAAGACATTGGCATCTCCACTCAGTACTCTGCTTTTGCCCCCGAGGCCATCTCCTCCTAGGAAAGCTGCTTCTGAGCTTTACCCTCTCTACAGCATGATCAGGGGCCCTGACTTGCAAGAGGCCCAGCCTGCCTCCTGGCTCTTTCTGGAAGACTGTGAGGAGCAGAGACTGGCTCCACGTCTTCCTGGCACCTGTCCCTGAGCCAGCATGAAAGCCGGTCACCGGGAGTTAAGGCATCTCCACAGGCTCACCCTCCTCCACCTTGAACCCCAGCAGCTCTCCACTTCCTCACCCACTGTCTCACCCACACCCATTCCTTCCTGGAAAGCGCCTCAGTCAGTTGGCCAGAGCCCCAGGAGCAACGAGAAGACCAGGGGTGGCAGTACTGGTCCCAGCCAGGGCTGTGTCACCAGCGGAATGTCTGTAGGGTAGACTTACACAAGGTGTTCACACACTCACAGTCACCCAAGCTCACACTCACTCTCACATACTTACTCTCACACCCACACACACACAGAGACACACACACACACACACACACTCACACTCACACAATCTCACATACAGTCACTCTCACACAGTCTCACAATACAGAGTCACTCATCTCATACACTCTCACACCCACTCACACACTCACAACCACACACTCACTCTCACACACACTCTCTCACATACAGAGCCACTCACACTCACACACTCACACATTCTCACAGTAACTCACTCTCACACACTCACTCTCACATTCACACACACAGAACCACTCACACACACTTTCACCCACTCTCACACACTCTCACATAGTCACTCACACGCTCTCACACTCACATGCATTCACACCCACCCTCACACGCTCACTCTCACACACAGAGCCATCCACACCTTTACACTCACTCATTCACACTCTACACTCACATCTACTCTCACACGCTCGCTCACATACACACACTAACATACACATATTCTCACACAGTCACTCACTCTCACTCTCACACATACTCACTCTCACACATACTCTCACCACACTCACACACATACAATCACACACACACATTCATTCTCACAGAGTCACACAGAGTCACTAACATACTAACACACACATACTCTCATATGCTCACACACATACAGTTGCACCCCTCACACACTCACCCTCACTCTCGTTCTCACACATAGTCATACACACACTAACATACTCATACACACATACTCGCTGAACTCACACAATCACACATTCTCACACCCTTACAAAACCTCACTCACACATGTACACTAACACACTCATGCTCTCACACTCTCACAGAGTCACACACACCAACTCACACTTACATACTCATACACTCTCAAACACACTCACACACTGTCACACACACATAGTCTCACATGCACATTCACACACACTCATACACACACTCGTTCACACTAACACACACTCACACAGACTCACTCACACACTCATAATCTCACACTCTCATTCTCACACTCTCATACTCACACACACTCACTCTCACACTCACACACTCTCATGCACACACTCACACTCCCACGGGGCTCTCAGAGTCACAAGCTCTTCTGAGAGTTGACAAGTGTCTCTGCCTTAACCCTCCCAACATCCTGAGGCAGGGTGTCATCATCCCATTTTTATACATGGGGAAACTGAGGTCTGGAAGTTCTATGACCTTTCCAAGGCCACAGAGCTGGTGAGAGGTAGGCCGACATTCTCCTCCACTGTGTGCTGGGGAAAAGGTCAACCCTCTCTGTTCATGTGTCCTTGTCACTCTTTGACAGGAGCCATTGGCAAGGGGAGGCTGAATGCTTCAGCTGGTAGATGAAGTCATGCACAGGGAGCGGTAGATGACCTGGGGTCCACCCTTCCTGGGGCACGGTTCTGCAGATGGGCCTCCTGGCAACTGCTTTCAACACACAGAGCTCAGTCAGTCAGCATTAGGGCAGCAGCCCAACCACCTCCAATCATGCAGCACCACTATGGACCACCAGAAGCAAGGCCTGCACCTCTCGGCCCCACAGAGGGGTCGTGTAGGGACCACCATGAGACAGAGCCTCTGTGGGTTCAGAACCTAATGGAAAACTAGGGGCCCAGAACTCGGAGACTCCAAATGGCTTCTGGAGAGGACCTGAGGCTGAACCTCAGGGCAATGACGTCCTGGGATGAGGGCCTGGAAGCAGAGGACAGAGCCTGTGCAAAGGCCCCAAGATCAGGGACCAAACACTGGGGTACAGGGGTGTGAGGAACAGGGGTAGACCCCCCGATGGTTTCATGGTGCACCAGATGCTCAGGGAAAACACACCTGACCTGTCCACTCATCCACAGCTGAAATGTGGCTGAGAACAGTAGGCACTATTGCCACACAAGAGCAGTCCACGTTTAACTCTGTTGTTTCTAAGTCCTGGTCTAGATCCACTAAACTCTGTGACTGAGCCAACCCTGCCCAGAACAGGCCATGCAGGGAAAAGCCACCTCAATGGAGAGGGGCTGCCCCAGGCAGGTCAGGGGACACACAGGTGATGGTGGGTGTGAGGAGGCGGGCCTGGAGGCCAGTGTCTGGACTGTGATGCAGAAGCAGAGAAGTGTGGCCCAAGCTGGGGAGGAGGAGAGCCCCTATACAGCTGGTCTGAGCCTGGTGAAAGTACTGGCCAACAGCTGGGGCCTGTAGGGAGGCAACATCCCAGAGGGTCTGGTCAGGACCTGGTGGAGAGTTAGACATAGTCACCCAAACTCGCATTGCTGAGGCCACAGAAAGGCCTGACAACCAGAAAATGATGATTTTTTATTCTCAAATCCCAGCTCATCACAGGCTGGCGTAGAGTAGCCAGTTGGAGTAGTGATTAGTCTACTCTGTGCCTCTCAAGCACATAGCAAGGGATTCCAAGTTTGACACACTAATTCACTCACTGAGCACAAGGCCAGTGCTGGTCATGAGTGGCAGGGATGGGGACAGGACTTGGAGCTCACTGTCCAGTCAACTCCTGGGCCCCTCTTTGTCAGGAAGCAGCTTGTCATGTGATCCAATGAAACCCTGATCACAGCATCAATCAGGGTCTGTCCTAACTTTTGTGGTCAAGCGGTGTCCTGTCAGGTGTGTGGTCAGATGTGTAAGTGTGTGTTACGTGTGAGAGTGGACCCTTGTGCTCCTATGGTCAGACAGGTATGGGGTGGGCTGACCACAAGCCCACAGGTATGACATGCCCTCAGGTGCTGCTGTGGTCAGACAGGTGTGGGGGTGGGGTGGTCACAGACCCACGAGTGTGACATACCTCCAGGTGCTGCTGTGGTCGGCCAATAAAGTGTTTGAAGAGCTGACAGACATCGAGAGGCAGTTCCACAAGGCCTTCTACACTGTGCGAGCCTACCTGAACTGTGACCGGTATTCGGTGGGCCTCCTGGACATGACCAAGGAGAAGGTGAGACCTCGGACTCTTAGGCGGCCTCCTGCCTGCTGGCCCATACCTGTGCTGCAGCCTCATCTGTTTCTCTTCTCCTCTGCCAGGAATTCTTTGATATATGGCCGGTGCTGATGGGAGAAGCCCAGCCGTACTCAGGCCCACGCACGCCTGATGGTCGGGTGAGTGGTGGTGGCAGGGCCTGGGCCCTTCCGCACTCTTGGTTTTCCTGGCTCCAACTCCAGGGTTGGAGGGGAGGGCAAGGGAGGGCGTGGGGAGGCAAGGACAGATCCCCGAGTGCCTGTCTGTCATCTACAGACTCCTGCCTTGCTGAGCTGCAGGGCAGGGCAGCCGGGCTGGTCCCCAACAAGGGGTGTCTGTCTGGTTATGAAAGCTGGCACACATTCCTATTGGCCAGGAATCCTGCTTTCCCATTCTGAATCACTGTGACACCTCCCCACACGGGAATGAGTGTGTGTGTAAGGGAAGATGGGCCCAGTTCATGTGAGGGGTTGTAGGGGACACAGGGAAACCAGATCTAAATCAGAGTATGTATCACATGTCCCATGAGTGTTGGTGACAGCCTGCGTGTGTGTACATGTGGATGGGTGTACATGTGTGCTTGCACATGTGTGCATGGTAGATGCATCTGTTGACATGTACATGTGTATGAATGTGGGTGTGGTTGTATTCGTGTCTGTTGCCTGTGAGTGGGCATGTGGTTGTGTGTAATGTGTATGCTCATGGTAGGTGTATATGTGTACATGGATGGAATGGGAGATTCCCTTGAGGGGCTTGACCAGGGAGCTCCCCGCCCCCAATGACTTACGTGTTTGTTTTCAGGAAATCGTCTTCTACAAAGTCATCGACTACATCCTCCATGGCAAGGAGGACATCAAAGTCATCCCGTAAGTGTCAGGGTTCGCAAGACGCATCACTCAAGGGTGGGATCACCTTCAGCCCAGGCTCAGCCTCGGGACCTGTTGGCTCTGGGATATCCTGTGGTGGCATCAGTTGCACCTGGCCCAGCCATGGTTCCCCTCATTCTGTGGAGCAGACGGGACAGGTGGGGAATAGGAGGCCAACCTGCTCTTCTAGGAAACAGCGTGGAAGGGTGTGGGGAGGTGTGGAGGGAAGTGACAACCTGAAGCATTGTAGTCACCCTGAGTGAACACACAAGGGGATGGAGTGAGTCATCAAGTGGCCCCATCAGCAGCAACTGAGCTGTGAGGCCCTCAGGGTCTGATTTTGCTTCAACCAGCCCAAACCATAAAAAGAGGCCCCACATTCGTGCTACGGGCTGGGAGAAGTGAGGGGTCCAGTCTAGAGATCAGGGCAGGACTCCAGCCTAGGGAGACTGGGGAAAGCAGCCAGCCTTGTCCAACCCTGCAGTTGTGCAGACATGCAACTCCATGATCCTGTGACCCCAGCTACCACCTGGAGGTGGAGAAGGGAATAGTTGTTGAGGTTCACACCCTGCACCAAAACCCACATGCACATGTATAATGGCTGTTCATTTGGTCCCTCTGACACTCTGCTCTCTCCCTGCAGCACACCCCCAGCTGATCACTGGGCCCTGGCCAGCGGCCTCCCCACCTATGTGGCAGAAAGTGGCTTTGTGAGTCCTATGCTGTGTGCGGCCCTCATGGTGCCCTTGCTGGAGCTGAGTCATGGGGCTTGCCTCAACCCTCTAGCATCCCACCCACCCCACCACCCCCCTGGGCCTCTGCCAGCCTCCAGCTGCTCTGCTTTGCTACTTGAAAGTTTATCTCCTGCATGTGAGACCTGGCAGGATCCTCCTTTTAGAATCCTGTTACACATGCAGCCGCATCCAGTAAAATGGTTTTTCTGATCCTTTTTCAGATTTGTAACATCATGAATGCCTCTGCAGACGAAATGTTCGAATTTCAGGTATCTGTCCATTTGTTGATAGAATTGTATTTTACTTAAGAAAGAAGATATTTTGGTTCAGAAATGATGAACTGAATTAGTGTTTGTTGTTTAAAAAAAAAAAAAAACTAAAATTCTCAGTGGCTGACAAGTATTTCATGCTCATAGGCCTGCAGATTGGTGGAGGCTCAGCTGAGGCTCAACTGGATTTGGCTCATCTTGGCTGGGCTCAGCTGATCTTGTCTGGGCTCAGTTGATCTTGGCTGGGCTATGCTAATCTTGTCTGGGATCAGTTGGCCTTGGCTGGGCTCAGCTGATCTCCTCCAGGGTAGGCTGATCTTGTCTGAACTCAGTTGATCTTGTTTGGGTTAGACTGATCTTGTCTGAACTCAGTTGATCTTGTTTGGGCTAGACTGATCTTGTCTGGGCTCAGTTGACCTTGGCTGGGCTCAGTTGACCTTTTCTGGGCTAGGCTGATATTTTCTGGGCTCAACTGGTTTTATCTGGACTCAGCTAACCTCATCTGGGTTAGTCTGATCTTGTCTGAGTTAGGCTGATCTTATCTGGGCTCAATTGATCTTGTCTGGGTTAGGCTGACCTTTTCTGGGATCTTTTGGTCTTGGCTGGGCTCATTTGATTTTGTCTGGGCTAGGCTGATCTTGTCTGGGCTCGGTTGATCTTGTCTGGGCTCAGCTGAGCTCTGTTGATCTTGGGTGGGCTCAGTTGACCTTGGCTGGGCTCCTGTGAGAGTTCAAGGGTTCAAGGCAGGTTTGCATCTTCACCTGGTGCCACATGACCAGGGCAGGCTCATTCCTGGGAGAGGTTGAGAGCCCCATGGGTTGGTAGAAACATGCTCTAGGAACTGGCCTACTGTCCATTTTTCACTGGCCAGGCCCAGCATGGATGGGAGACAGGACCAACCATAGTTTTCCGAACCTCAGGCAAAGTAAAAACACGAGGCCTCTTGTTGAGCAATTATTAGAACTTTTAGGAGCATGACAGCAGAACATTTGCGAGCACATGACTCCTGTAAGTGTGGCTCCAGTGTGACTGCAGCCCCCAGGTGCTCATGAAGCCAGTCCCGGCAGGAAAGAATCCCCCACCTCCTCTCATGGGAAAAATCATGACACAAAACCCCGGACATAAAGTCAAATGCAAAGAGAGGGTGAGGACACAGGGACAATGGCCCAGTCATTGCAGTCTGGAGGCAGGACAAAGAAGCTCATCCCCCCAAGTTAACAAGCTCAGCCCCAGACTCCACTCCACAGGAGGGACCACTGGACGAGTCTGGCTGGACCATCAAGAATGTACTGTCCATGCCTATCGTCAACAAGAAGGAAGAGATTGTGGGGGTTGCAACATTTTACAACAGAAAGGATGGAAAGCCCTTTGATGAACACGACGAAGTTCTCATGGAGGTAAGCACCTGTCACCAGGTGTGGCATTGCAGTTGACACCCATGTGATGCATGGTGACTCAGTTATGCCTGTCAGCCTCCATCCAACATGAGGCCAGGGAGAGTGAGAATGTGGGAAAGCCTGTGAGGTTCCTGGGAGGGGCTCTCATGGGCACCTGGAGACTCCATTCAGAAGCACTTGTGGCTCTGGAGTGGCAGCCCTGTGGCCAGTGTGCCAAGCCATGCAGCATATGGCAGGTGCCCATCAGCTGCCCCAAGGTTGGCTGACACCGCCACTCTCCCTCAGTCCCTAACGCAGTTCCTAGGCTGGTCGGTGATGAACACAGACACCTACGACAAGATGAACAAGCTGGAGAACCGCAAGGACATCGCCCAGGACATGGTTCTCTACCATGTGAAGTGTGACAAGGATGAGATCCAGTCCATCTTGGTACTATTTCCTTTACCCACGGGTGCCCCTGTGCAGCGGGGAGGCAGAACGGTCCAGTGGTTAGGAAACAGCCCGGGGGTCCGAGGCCATGCCTGTCCCTGGCATGCTGCCTGCTGCCCTACTGTCTGATGGCCCTGGGACCCTGATCCTGTGTTCAGTCTCCCCAGCTGGGCACTGGGTGTGACCAGAACCCTATAAGGCCATCACATGAGGATCCACCTGTGACACCTGGGATTGCATGAAACAACGCCCAAGGGACAGTAGCATGAGGGGAGTGAGCAGGCCCTGTGCACGTTGCCACTTGTCTCTGGAACCAGGGCTGTTGGGGGCTTTCAAGGTGGAACTGATAGAGTCCTCAGAAGTGCCTTCATCCCACACATTTACAAGGGCAAAGGTGATGCCGTCACCCTGTCCCACACATGAAGGGTGAAGGTCATACCACCACCCTGTCCCACTCACAAGGGTAAAGTTGGCACTATCACTGAGCGCAAAGTTGGCACTATCACTGTGTCCCACACAGGGTGAAGGTGGCCCCATCACCCTGTCCCACACAAAAGGGCGAAGGAGGTATCGTCACTTAGTCCCACATAAGAGAGCAAAGGTAACAACGGCACTGTGTCTCATGACACGTGTGCTTTTCTCTGTAGCCCACCAGAGCTCGCCTGGGGAGGGAGCCCGCTGACTGTGATGAAGACGAGCTTAGAATCCTCCTGGTAAGAATCTTAGTCTCATTCCTCCCACAGGGATCAGCCTCTCTTGGGGGCAGAGGCAGCTCTCCTTTCTCTGGATTAGAGGGAGCTTGCACACACGGTGTCATCTTGCAATGCTGGTACTGTCTGTGTGTGTGTCTACCTGCCTCAGTGAGTGTCTATGTGATCCTGGCTCTGAGTCTCAGCCAGTGTGTCCCTGAGTGTATCTGTCTAACTAAAGTCTGAAGGTCATGTCAGACCTACTGAGAATATCTCCATGTCCACCTGTCTCTTCTGTGCTTTTCCAGAACTGTCCATGTTTAGTCTCTGTGGTCATGACTTGGACCAAGTGTCCATCTTGTCATCTCTGCTATTGCAGTGACCGGGTGCCTGCAACACCCAGTGTGTATGTGTCTGTTTGCATGAATGTGCATGTGTGTGCACATGTGCGTGTATGTACATCCACATGTGTGTATGTATGTGGGTGCATATGGACATATGATTGTGTGTGTCTGCCAGAGACCACCACTGGATCAACTTGAAAGGCATGTGGTATCTCCAGTGCCCTGTGACTGTCCGTGTGATTGAGCCAGAATCATCAGACTGCAGGTCTGGCTGAGTAGCCTTTGACTGAGCATGCAAACATGCCTGACAAGTCTGAAAGTCAGTGGCAGTCTGTGATACCTTATGGCTGTGGCATGAGTCTCATATGAGTGTCTGCACATATGTGCCTAGGTACCCATGAGTGTACCTGTGTATCCACGTGTGTGCCTATGTGTCCATGTATGTGCCTGTGTGTTCATGTGTGCCTGCATATTCATGCGTGTCCATGTGTGTGCTTGTGTATTCCCATGTGTGTCTGTGTCCATGTGTGGGCCTGAGTATTCACAGATGTGGCTATGTATCCATGTATGCCTGTGTCACATGTGTGTCTGTGTACCTTTTCATGTGTATCCCTTGTGTTTGCACATCTGTTTTCCCAACATTATCCCGTCTCCCCAACAGGGTGAGATTTTCGCTGCTGGGCCACAGGATGGGAGGAGGGAAGGGAATGGGGCTGTGCCATTGGGGGGTGAGGACATCCTGGGCGACTGGAGGGCAGATCTCACCAGAGATGTCTGGGGTATCTGAGGCTTGCCAGAGGGTCCAGAGAGGAGAAGGATGAGAAGAAGTGGGGGCCGCGGTGAACCTGCCTACCTCAGCCCACAATCTCTCCCACAGAAAGAAGAGCTGCCAGGCCCCAATAAGTTTGACATCTATGAGTTTCACTTCTCTGACCTGGAGTGCACCGAGTTGGAGCTGGTCAAATGTGGCATCCAGATGTACTATGAGCTGGGCGTGGTCCGCAAGTTCCAGATCCCCCAGGAGGTGGGGAAACACACAGGGGGACACAGTTGAGGCTCCTAGATCACCCAGGATGTGGGGATGGGGATTTGGTTATGGGTCTCAGACCCCCCAGGAGGTAAGAGGAGGGAAGGTAGTGGAGGGGGAGGTCCCAGATCCCACAGGAAGTTTGAGAAGCAGGCCAGTTCATCACAGAATAAGTAAAACATATAAAACAAGTAGGCCTAAAATAAATATTTGGATGGATGGGTGGATGATTGAATAGATGAATGGATGAGTGGGAAGGAGGAAAGGAAGGAAGGAGGGGAAGAGAGGGAGGGAGGAGGGAAGGAAGGAGTGAAGGCCAAAAGGAAGGTTGATTAAATGAAGGGATTGGTGAATGAATGGGTGGGTGGAAGAAAGAGAGAATGGGTGGATGGACCAATAACTTGATGGAGGGAGGAAGGATGGATGAGCGGAAGGAAGGGGGGAGGGAGGGGGAAGGGAAGGAAGAATAAGTGGATAAATGGATGGATGAATTAATGAATAGATGGAAGAGGGGTGGATGAATGGAAGGATGGATGAATGGAAGGATGGATGGATGGATGGATGGATGGATGGATGGATGGATGGAAGGATGGATGGGTAAACGGATGGGAGAAAGAAGAGTGAATTGATGGATAGATGAATGAATGCAAAGAAGGAAGTGTGGGTGGGTGGGTGGATGGATGGATGGATGGATCGACGGATGGATAGCAGCATGGATGGATGGAAATGGATGGCTGGATGGACGAATAAATGGAAGGAAGACTAGGTCAATGAAAGGGAGGATGGAAATGAACGGATTAATGAATAGATAGAATGATAGATGGATAAATGAATGGATGGATAGACGGGTGGGTTGTTAGATGGATGAATGGGTGGGTGGGTGGATAAATGGATGGGTGCTAGATAGATAGGTGGAGGGACAAATGGAACAAGGGATGGATGGGTGGGTGATGAATGGATGGAAAGATGAAAGGGGAATGGATAGATGGTTGGATGGTTAGACAAATGGGTGGGTGGGTGACGAGTGGATGGATAGGAAGTTTGATTGGTAGGAGTTCAAGGCATCCGATCACTAGGTGCCATCACAGGGGACTTGGTGGGCAGTTCAAAGGAAATGGTAGAAGCCCATCACCTAAGTGTTTAATAGAAAGCTCACGATGTCCCTCTAGTTTTGACCACAGCGGAGCTCTCCAGCGATCACCACAGGGAAGAAATAATAGCTTTCCCAGCTCTTAGTCCCACCATTCTGCCTGGCCCCTGCAGCTTTCTTGCTCTGCCCTACATCTACTGCCTCAGGGAGCCTCTGCTTCCCAAGCCCAAGTGAGGGAACCCTCTTTTGTCATGCTCCTCTGAGAACAGGTGCAGCAGGCTGACATTTTTGAAAGAAATTTTACCAAAGAGTAAGGGAAAAACACAAAAGAAAAGTTATAAGAAATATTTGCAGAATAAAAAAAAAATCCCCAATAATTTTATGACCCTGAAAAATCACAATAGAAATAATAAGAGAAAGGGGTAACTTTCTCTGCAGGCGAGGCTCTCCCACCCTGCCCACAACCCACACATCCTGCTCATTCAGATATCCATGCCCCAGAACTGACATCTTCCTCTTAAAATGCCTTGCCTACCAGAGGTCCTCCTCCAGATCTGTGACTAGACAATAGAACGGAGGTCCTGGAGGTCCCTGAAAGCCAGAGCTGTTCTCAGCTTCTGTCCTGCCTAGCTCCCGTCCTGCCTAGCTCCCCTCAATAGGTGTCTAGCATGGTGCTCCCCACCTAAGAAGGCCAGTGGGGCCAGCAGGAAATACTGGGGGCAGGCAGAGCTATGGGGGCCCAGGAGACAGGGAGTGGGGAAGAGGCACAGAGCAGAGCTTCCACCATTTGATAGGACTCGAACACGGTGCCAAAGCCCTATGTTCTCCTGGCTCCCTTAGGTCCTGGTGCGGTTCCTCTTCTCCATCAGCAAAGGGTACCGGAGAATCACCTACCACAACTGGCGCCATGGCTTCAATGTGGCCCAGACGATGTTCACACTGCTCATGGTGCGTGGCTGGACTCAGCAGGAGCCGCTCTGTTAGGGATCCCAAGTGATGGGGGTTGTGCAGACCCTCCTGGCACCAAGGACAGTGTCCCACATGCCCCAGGGCAGGAGACGGGACCCTTCAAGGGCAGAGGGAGTGGAGGAGGCCGACACCCTCCTGCAGTGCACCCTCTGTGACCCCAGTCCCACAGAGGGTAGAGGGCACCCTGGCTCACCCCCATCCACTCACCCCCACCCCACTGGAGCATGGACACCCTGTCTCTGCAGACGGGCAAGCTGAAGAGCTACTACACAGACCTGGAGGCCTTTGCCATGGTGACGGCCGGCCTGTGCCACGACATCGACCACCGTGGCACCAACAACCTGTACCAGATGAAGTAGGTGCCACACAGGAGTCAAGGATGGGCAGTGGGCGTGTAAATGAGCAATAGATCAACTCCATGCCCTTGCGGTAAATCTGAGCACCCTGGTCACTGGCCACACAGAAAGGGGGCCTACCTAGAAGGGCCACAGAGCCCAAGGTGGGCCAAGAGGCAGTCGCACAGTCAGGGCACCCATGGTGATAGCCCCTCTCTCCTCACCACCTCCTGGGTCACTCTTCTGACCGTACGTTTGTTTGCTTAATAAACTCTGTTCAGATCCCAGAACCCCTTGGCCAAGCTCCATGGCTCCTCAATCCTAGAGCGGCACCACCTGGAGTTTGGGAAATTCCTGCTCTCGGAGGAGGTTCGTGTCCTCGCTGTCTTCCTCTTGGGTACTTTTCAGTCAATGAGCTGTCACCTGCACCAGGCCCTCCTCCAGGCACTGGGGACACAACATTCTCACAACTGTCTGGCTGTGTCCTGGGGAACAGGGCATTGACATGGGAGAGGGTGAGGGCAGCCGGGAAGGCACAGGCTAAGGCTGGGAGCAGATGCATGGCAGGCTCTAGGCAAGCAGTAGCAGCTGAAAAGCGTCCGTGGGCCATGGAAGGCACTGCAGGGCTAGTCTGTGTCTGGAAATGTCCCATGGTGGGGTGGGTGGAAGCCAAGGAGGCCAGGGCCTGGGACTGACACCTGGGGGGCTCAGAGACCTGACGGTGACCAGGATGGTGAGCATGTCCAGATCGAGGACCAAGGACACTCAGCTGTCCCTCCCTACCCCTCACTGGGTAATGACCTCTGAAGCCATCTGGGTCCAGAACTGATTACCTAGGCTGAAGCCAGACAGCAGAGGGCTGGACACCTTGCAGGAGGGGCAGAGCAGGCCTGGCCATGGAGGAGCCAGCCCAGGCAGGCAGGTTGAGGGCCCAGGGGCAGGCCTGAAAGGGACAGAAGCCACCAGGGAGCAGGAGGCAATGAGGTTCTGAGCTGGCCTGACACCCACGGGCACCTGATGGCCTGGTACCACCCTGTGCAGACTCTGAACATCTACCAGAACCTGAACCGGCGGCAGCATGAGCATGTGATCCACCTCATGGACATCGCCATCATTGCCACAGACCTAGCTCTCTACTTCAAGTGCGTACCTTCCCATGGGTGGGGGCCCCACAGGGGTGGGGCAGGGAAGTCCTGGGGCTCCCAGCAGACCTCGGGGGCTGGAGGCAGCACAGCTAGGGGGAGGCAGCCCCATTCCAACCCTGCAGACCTCAGACTGGCCTTGGTTCTGGCCTCAGTTCCTCCCTGCAGGTGGGAGCAGAGGGCTATCTCCACCTGCTCCCACCTGTGCCCCTCCTTGTTCTCGGGGTCCAGGAAGAGGGCGATGTTTCAGAAGATCGTGGATGAGTCCAAGAACTACGAGGACAAGAAGAGCTGGGTGGAGTACCTATCCCTGGAGACAACTCGGAAGGAAATTGTCATGTGAGCACCAGGGGAGGACAGGCATGGGGGGACCCACACCTCTCCAAAGGGTAGGGTCCCACTTGTCAGCTGGTTAATCCTGCAGACTTCCCCAGACAAGACCAGGGGGCCCAGCCCTGAGTGTCCAGAACAAGAGCTCATCTCCTGACAGCTTACTGATGCCTCGAAACAAATGCTCCATTCCTACTTGCTCTCCACTTTTGGGGAGACAGAGCTGGGGTACAGAGTCGTGCAGACCATTCATTGCCTTGGCTTGTGGTCTTTGGCAATAACTTACTTCACTTTCTGAGCTTCCATTTTTTTCACCAAAAACGGGATTCAGAACTAACATCTTTCCCCAGGCTTGTCCCAGAGACCCAGTGAGAAAATAGGTACCAATCACCTGCACTCAGAAGGCACCCCATAAATATTTGTGACTCTGGTTTGTCTGCAGGGCCATGATGATGACGGCCTGTGATCTGTCTGCCATCACCAAGCCCTGGGAAGTCCAAAGCAAGGTAGGGCTCCCGCCGGCCTCCCAGCCCAAGAACAGATGCTGCTCAGCACCATGGGACCAGGAGAGGCAGCCTCAGATGGGGCGGGCCACGTGTTTGCAGGGAATCTGAGCATGCCTCCAGCCTGGCCAGGGTGACTGTGGGTAGGGCCGCTGTGTGCTTGAGTCTTCAGCCAACACCTGCATTGAGGGGAGGACCCTGAGGGTCTGGACAGATCAGACTGAGGCACAGAACCTCGCAGCAAGGGTAAGGCCCCCTGACGGGTGCAGAGCCCCACAGATGACTCCTTTGTTGCCCCCCAGGTCGCTCTTCTGGTGGCCGCTGAGTTCTGGGAACAAGGTGACTTGGAAAGGACAGTCTTGGATCAGCAGCCAATTGTGAGTGCTGCTTCTGGAACCTTTTACCCCTGCCATAATGGTCCTTGGGAGTCTCAGGTCCTTGCGAAGCAGCAGGAATGAGATGTCTTCATCTCATTCAGAGGGCTCACATGATTTAGGGGATTTGGGATCTGGTAGAGTTGTGGTGCAGGTGAGTATCATTGAAACTGAGGGACCAGGGCTATTTGCTCTTCACCAGAGCCTTTATGGGTAAACAGAGGCAGCCTTGCAGGCAGACCCTGGCTGGGCTACAAGCTATGCTCCAGTGAGTCCAGGGCTAGCCAGTACCAGGCAGGGAACGACTGGCATCCAGGGTCCACCCCATGGTGAGACAGACAACGCCAGGGTCTTCAGGTCAGTAGTAGGGCCAGGATGCCTGCCAGCACCATGGACAAGAGTTAGGAGACATGCCAGCCCCACGAGGTGGGAAGAGGTTCTGCCTCACAAGCCACCTCTGACGGCGGCCAGGTGCTGTTTGGAGCCTGGGGTGGAGAGGGCATATAGCACAAGCCAACTTGCTTGACCAACTGGAGTATCCTGTGGAGAGGACAGGCAATTAGTTCATTCCCCTAAGCCAGGCCTTAAGAGACCTGCGTGGCTCCCACACCATGCACTGTTCCCGGGTGGGGACGCTGAGGGGACTGACAGGCATCTCGGGCATCAGAAACTGCTTAAGGGCACGGTCCTGGTCAGCAGGGTGACAGGCAGTGCGGCCAAGGCTCGGGGTCAGCACCATGGACAGCACCGCCGGAGCTGCAGGGCGGGGCCCCAGAGCCAGGAGGCTGCTGCCTGCAGGAAACCCCTGCTGGACTGCCTGGAGCCACCGGGAACGTGGAGAGGAGCCACCCATGGCAGCCGGTGTCCTTGCAGGGCACCCTGGCTTCCACCCCAGCACCAGGGTCTGTCTGAGGCTCAGTCCCCAGCCTGGGTTTCATCTTCACCCTTGGGCTCTGCTCGTCTTGCATCTCTGAATGTATTCATTGGCTGTAGAGTAGGGGCTGGGCAAGGGCCCGAGGGCCCCAGGAACTGGCTCCCCCATCACCTTCCTCTGTTCCCCCCACAAGCCCATGATGGACAGGAACAAGGCAGCCGAGCTCCCCAAGCTGCAAGTGGGCTTCATTGACTTCGTGTGCACGTTCGTGTACAAGGTATGTGGCATGGGGGTGCTCAGGGTCGACAGGGCAGGCAAGGGGGTGCAGAGGGCTCCTGGGGACTTGCACGGGACTCAGCGGTGTCCTTGCAGCAGAGGGTAGGGATGCCTGCATGCGCCCCACCCACTCTCGAGTAGGGTAGATGGGGGAGACATCCTAGTGCCCACCCCCTCACATCCACCTGGCCTCCCAGCTGCAGCTGTCCTCACACCCGTGCACTCAGACCACCCAGTGCAGTCCTTGAAGCACCAAGCAACATCCTATCTCCAAAAGTCCCCCTTCACCTCAAGGTCCCGCCTCAGATGTCCCTTCCTCCAGGGGGCCTTCCCCACCGTGGTCAGCACTCTCTGCTTGGGGCACTGACTGCAACTCACCTCTGGTTCCTTTGCTCTATCTGTGACCCTCGAGGGTGGGTTGGGCCTGCCTGACCCTGATGGCTACCCACAAAGACAGTGGAACAGCTGAGAGTAGCCACAGACCCATGCCCTGAGTCTCCGAGGCACAAGGCAGAAGCTGAGGGGAGCTCACCAGAGCAGGAGACCCACTGGATCCCCATGACACTCTGGTTCCACAAGAGCCACACCCCACTGGCTGCGTCCACTGGGACAGAACCCACACTTCAAGGAGAAGGTCATTGGGTTCCACAGGAAGCCAGCCTGATGGGCTGTATCCACACCCCACCCTATCCCATTCTGCCCCACCAGGCTGTCAGCGCTGGGAGGAAGGTGGGGCCAGGGAGGACATTCAGTCCTGGAGTGGCCACAGGACACAGGTCTACCACAGGCACCCCCTACTCCCTTCCCCAATTCCATTCACACACTGTATAGTGTGTACACGTGTGGTGTGTGCATGTGTGGTGTGTGTGTGACCATGTACCTGTGCCCGTGTGGTGTGTGCACATGTGATGCGTGCTGTGTAGTGTATGAGGCATGATGTGCTAGTGTGGTGTGATGTGTTCATGTATGGTGTGTGCTCACTGATGTGTGATGTGTGCAGGCGTGATGTGTGTAGGTGTAGTATGTGCAGGTGTAATGTGTGATATCTGCAGGTATGATACTGTGATGTATGCAGGTGTGAGGTGTGATATGTGTAGGTGTGATGTGTACAGATGTGATGGGTGATGTGCTTAGATGTGATGGTTTAGGTGAGATGTGTGTAGGTGTGATGTAAGTGTGATGGCTAAGGTGTGATGTGTGCAAGTATGATGTGTGATGTGTGCAGGTGTGATGTGTTTAAGTGTGATGTGTGCTGATGTGCGCCGACATGATGTGTGCATGTGTGAGGGACGGGAGAAGAGCTGCAGAGGGAAGAGCTGCCTGTCACCAGCATCCACCACCTTCTGCCAGAGGCGCCATTCCTCCTGCACCCTGATCCTGCTGCCACCAACACTTCTGCTCTGCTCTCAGGGTCCTCGCCCAACTAATACCATCTGCATTGCAAGCATTCACACCCTAAAGCTCCCCTTTCAACTTCAGGAACACAAACCCTGAGCCCTTCTCCCATGTTGGGGTTTTGCTGGCATTTCAGTGGTTCCCTCTCCTTTACCAGGCAGGCGGCCACGGGTTCTCCCTGAGTACAAGGGAAGCCGGGCAGGGGGATGGGCTGGGGAAAGCCACCGTCTGAGCCCTCCAGGAGCAAGCAGGAGCATGTGGTGACTTCCTGATTCCCCCAGGAGTTTTCCCGATTCCACGAAGAGATCTTGCCCATGTTCGAACGGCTACAGAACAACAGGAAGGAATGGAAGACACTGGCTGACGAGTACGAGGCCAAAGTGAAGGCCCTGGAGGAGAAGAAAAAGGAGGACGAGAGAGGGCCCATCAAGAAAGGTCGGTCTCTGCATGGCCTGCAGGGAGGCCCTTGGCGAGTCTCCAAGTCAGAGTCACACCACAGAGTTAAACTGGGAGGACAGCCAGATTTCAAAGCGGCAATGCACTCCGGCTGCACACTGCAGGGCCATGGTGCACGGGCCTGACTCCCAAAAACAACACTGTGATTTCACCCAGTTAGCAAACCCAGACAGGTTTCTTGTTCCCAGCAGCAAACCCTCACATTCATGAAGGGAGGAGAGGGGGTCATTTCTTTTACAAAAGGCAGGAAAGCTCACTGACCTCTCAGGAGTTCCTTTGTTCCACCAGTTCCCTAAGGAACTCAGAAAATCCACTCACGCTCACTTGCTACCCTCAGAAACAAATAACAAACTCAGAAACAAACTGAACAGTCAGAAAATAGACAAGACAAAAACTTTAAGTCCTGTACTATGCCCAGAGCATGATTACCTTTCCAACCCTATGTTATGGAAATGTGAGTCAGTTGTAACAAGTCAGTGCTACCCCAGATTGGAATTCCAATGGCATTATGGCCTTGGCATTTGCCTGTGCTCAGGCCCTGGGTCTCACTTGTTGTTCCCTGTCATCCCGTGCTATTTCCTGCTGTCCCATGTGATTCCTTGCCATCCTTGCTGTCACCTGCAAATCCCTGCTATCTCACGATTCCCTGCTGTCCCATACAATTCCCTTCTGTCCCACAATTCCAGTACTAGTTCCTGCCAACTACGTAAACAAGGCAACTTCAGGCTTGTGGGAGGCCAGGACTGAGCATTATCAGGGCACTTTGTCAAGGGCTTAAGCATTAAGAAAGGCTCAGCCCCAGCTAATCCGCTTGGGCTGCCACCGACCCAGGTGCTGTCCTTTCTCCTGCAGGGGTTGGTAGAGGACATACCAGGTACAAGAGGATTGGGCCGGCATGCAGGCATGGTTTAACATCTTGTCTTCTCTTGCAGTGGGCACAGAAATCTGCAATGGTGGCCCAGCACCCAAGTCTTCAACCTGCTGCATCCTGTGAGCACAGGCTCAATGGCACCCTCGTCCCGCTACCCCTAGGACTCGGAGTCTGCCTCCAGCAGTTTGGTACAGGAGGTTAGGAAGCCCGAGAAAATGACTGAAAATAATTTGGAATTTTTTTTTAATGTTTGTTTTTATAAACTAAAGCCAACTATGACTAATTTAAAGTGTAACCCAGTTTTTGGACATAGTTACCATTGGGAGATCTTCAAGGTCTGCAGAAACTATGGAAATGACTGAATGGGAACATTTACACCTGCACATGTATATATGTGTACATAGGTAGACAGGTGGATACGGAGATATTGCTTTTCATCTGGTTTAGGATAATTTAGAATAAATTTAGACAATTTAGAATAAAATAAAAAGAAACTTAGAATAAAACAAACAACCTGCCCGTTTTTTATGTGGTAGAATTGTAGATGCATTGCATTTGACCCTCAAAAAATTCTGCCAGAAACAACCAGACCATGAGAAGAGCAGCAATCAGATGATTGTTCTCAGTAGAAATAACCCAGGGCAAGCGCCATGCACAGTGGCTGACATGGACTTATCGATGGCGCCGGGGGTGGGAGGCTGGATGTGACGCCTGATGGCCTGGGTTCTCCTTCACAGGAAGCTTTCCTTACAGTGTCCCCACACACCTCCAGTGATTTAATCTGGGTAAGCCTAGAGGGACATCGCACGACTCATCTGAAATGGGGGTTACCATGTAAAAGTCACAGATCTTCAATTTGTGATGGGTGCTCCAAGACACTTGACCCCTCACACTGGATGACACTAAGCTGGATGGGTTTAGGGGAGGAGGGTGAGTGAGCCCAGCACAGCCATCTGCCCGCAAGAAGGGGGACCAGGTTTAATATCATCTCGCTGGTCACTGAACCTGGGACTGGGGGCCCCTAGAGGTTCTGAGGGGCCTAGGCAGCAGCCTCTCTGGACACTCTTCCATGGAGCTCAGAAGGGGCCAAGGTGCAGGGATCCCAAGGGAATGTGACATCATCTTGTTCACTCAAACCTCACCTTAACCAAGTACTTTGAAATGCTTGTAGGCTGCATCTTGTTGAGAAAACAATGAACTCATTTTACAAATGAAACTCGGGTTCAGAGGCTAGGAAATTTGCCCAAGGTATATAGCTGGGAAGCAGCACATTCAACTTATCCATTCTGAAACATGAAGCTATGGTGAACTGGCCTGCTCGCAGCCAGCAGGGATGAGAAGCCTGCTGGGGAGAGATGTCTGTGCAGGCACCACAGGCCAAACTCCCTCAACAGCTCAAGCAGCATGCTCACCTTGTCCTCATCACTGGACTTCAGTCTCAAGCCTGTCCTGGCCCTCTCCAAGGATCAAGGGAGGGTTCCTAAGTTGGTGGCAAGCAGGACCCAGGTTCCCAAGTGAAAAGGCTTGAGCCATTGCCTACCCCTCTCCATCCAGGCAGGTTCAGCCTAGAGCTCAGAAAAAAAGACAACCCAATAGCACCCAGGAGGCCCTGGCCCAGCCGACAAACGCACGCATTGGGTTCCCCACCTGAATACCCCAGACAGAACAGGTTGTGGGTTCCATACTTCCCTGTGTTTGTGTGAAGCATTTTGGGTCTCTGACTTCTGAGACAGCTGTGTTCTTTTGAAAGCTCCTCCCCAGTTGGGCACGATGGCTCATGCCTGTAATCCCATCACTTCGGGAGGTGGAGGCAAGAGGACTGCCTGAGCCCAGGGATTCAAGACCAGCCTGGACAACATGGCGAGACCCCATCTCTACAATAAATCAAAAAATTAGCCAGGCATGGTGGTGTACATCTGTAGTTCCAGCTACTTGGACGGCTGAAGCAGAAGGCTCGCCTGAGCCCAGCAGGGCAAGGCTATGGTCGTTAACATGCCACAGCATCCCAGCCTGGGCAACAGAGTGAGACTCCAACTCAGAAAAAAAAAAGGAAAGTCCCTCCCCATCTTCCCCATCTACATAAACCAGGAAGACAAAAGGAGTACAACTGCTAAGCTCAAATCCAGGAATCAGACAACTGACGACAGAAAATGAGGGCGTCGAGTACCACACTACACAGGAAGTTTTATTCATCCACTACTGTTGCAGGAAAAGCAGGTTCACAGAGACTCTCACTTCAAGATGCTGTCATCTTGGGCTGAAAGTTTAGGAGAAAAACACACATGTTATCACACTCAGACAACCTAAAAGGATCACTCCAGGTTTCTAGTATTTAAACAATCCAATTTCTAGTTCCCATGAAACCCAACTATGCTCTACTCAGACCATCCTCCTTGATTTCCTTCCCTGCACCTTCCAACCCAGCTGTGCCACAGCAGTCAGAGGGAAAAGTGTGCCTGGCCCATGGCCTCCGAGCATGGCCCAACAATTTCACAGGGACAGCCAAGGGGCCCGGGCCTCAACAAAAGCCAACTGTCACCATGCCCCGACCCTCCAAGACTCTACTCCACCCTCCTTCTCCCCAGAAGACCTATGCTGGGTGAGAGGAGAGGCAGCCACTCCCTCCACTGAGAAGCTCACTTGGAGCAGCAGCTGTTTTTCCTGAAAATGTGGGAGGGGGCATCTGTAAGACCCAGTGACACGAGTACCTTCTGCCAACTCTCGAGCAATCCGTTTCAGTTCATCCTGCTTCTTTTTCTCTTCTGCTGCTATCCTCCTCTCCTCTGCTGCCCGAGGTTTCAGGTAACCTGTTTCAGGGAATGGGGGGGGGTCTGTCAATTAACTTTACTCAAAATCCTGCATAGAAATAGAAGAAACTGAGTCCACAGGTCAAATACCTCCACGTAGCAGTGAATCAGACGCACCTGCTTCATGTTAACGCAGACTTGATCCTCATCTAAACAGAGCCCAACCAGAGGCCAGAGTCCCCGCTGCCCATTCCACACATGCTCACTCGGTCCTCTGGGAACGGGAACTGCTCCTGTCTGGCCTCAGCACCCGTTTTCATGAAGAACCAGCCCTTTTCCCGCCCCCGCCCGGCCTCATTCTGCACTTCGTGTTCGCTAATGCCAGGTCACCCACGGCCCTGAGGCTGGCCAGGTGCCTGCTGAAGGACGTGCCCTGCGGCCTCGTGATCAGTCCCCTCCTGCGCTGGGGTCACTGAGCAGCGCTAGGGATCCTAAGGGAAGCCGGCTGCCCTGGCCCGCCCGCCCGGGGTCTCACTCACTGTAGCGCGAGGCTCCGTAGGCCATGCCGAGGAACAGGGCGGAATAGCGGCCGAGCTGCGGGAGAACGGGGTCAGGGGTCAGTCGGGGGGTCTGGGACCTCGGGAGCGGTAGGGGCGAAGGGTCGCGGGGCGGGATAGGGGCACAGGGGAGGGAAGACGCGACGGGGATGGCGCGGGGCCGGGTCGCCGGGCGGGATCGGGGGCGCGGGATGGAGGGGGTCGGGGGTCGCGGGGTCGGGGATCGCGGGGCGGGAACACTGGGCGGAGGCCCCCGAAGCCGAGTTCACCTTGATGAGCGGAGAGACCTGCACCGGAGGCACCATCTTGCCCCTGACCTTCGCGCCGGAAGCACAACCTGCCGGCCGCGGAGGAAGGCGCACGGGGCGGCGAGAGCCGAGAAGGCTAAGGCGTAGCCAGGCGGGCGCATGCGCCCTCAGCAGGAAGAGCCCGAGGGGCGGCGCGCCCCCTGGCGGCCGGAGGGTGAGAGCGCGCCCCCCTCGGAGGGTGACGTCACCGGAGCACACACGCGGAAGAGCGGCGTGGGCGGGTTCTCTCTTTAGACCTGGGACGGGGGACCGGTCACCCCTTGCGCCCCGGCTGCCCACCACTCACCACTGCGCTCACCACTACGGCCGCCTCCAGGCAGGTGGGAACACATCCAGGCCGCACACCTTGCGTCCCCAAATTGAAAAGTTGAAGTCGGGCTCGCAAACCCAAATAAGGTGCTGGCTTCCAGCTGGCAGAAGACCCTGCGGGACCTGGAGGCAGGGCCAAGGCTGTCCAGGCCTCGGAGCAGGCCCAGGGAGGGCTGAGCGGCTCCTCCCGCAGGCCTCTGCCCTGTGGACAGAGTAGCGCGGGACAGCGACTCTGGCCGGTGTGCACAGCTGGCCCGGTCCCTTTGCACTCACAGACCCGGGAGCCGGTGCCCCTTTGCCCCAGAGGCCCCATGACTTCCTTCCCGAGAAGAGGCAGGGTCCTCTTGGGAAGACCACCCCAACAGAAGCTGCTCCTAGGTTCCCCTGACTCAGGCCTGGGGACCCCATACCAGTCTCCCTGCTGACTTTTGTCCACCTCAAGGAGCTCCTGTCTCTCACAACCCCTGGGCAACACTGGTGAGGGCTGCCCAGACATGAGGCCACTGGCATCCCAATGTGCCCTCTGCCCACTGCTGTTTCCACGGACACCAGGCTCAGAGCCTGCCCTTCTGTCCTTCTTGGGACAGCCCTGCTGTGCAATGAGCGACCCCCATCAGTCCCTGTGGCCTACAAGCAGCAGTGACACAGAGCCCTCTGAGGTTGCTCATGCCTAGTCCTCCTGGCCCTCACTGCTGGGACAGAAGCATCTGAGAGCCACGGCTTGGGTCCCACTAAGGTCCCTGTTCCACTGGGATGCGGGTGGCCCCTCTTAACCATCATCAAACCCACGTGTTTAGAAAAACAACTTTACTATGACTCTAAAGCAATAAAGGAAGAATTGACAGTTGTAGGTGCTCAGCAGTCTCCAGCGGTAAGGACCCATGAGGTTGGCCAGCCAGAGGATTCTGGGGAAGTACAGCCACTTCAAGACCTGGGCCTCTCCGACTAGGAAACTGGAAGTCACCTAGGTCAGTCCTATAGGATCACCCTTTTCTTTCCTTCATCCTCTGTGAGGTCTCCTTGCTGGAACCCTGTCCTCAGGCAGCCAGGCGCAAACCCCAGCCCTGGAGCAGCCAGGCAGACGGCCTCAGGTGACAATGTGTTTTCCCTTCACTGGATTTTAAAATAACCCAGACTCCTCAGCAACTCGTGCTTCCAGAATCAAAAATAAGTGTCTCTGGGGCCCAAAGTAGGGCCAGAGCCAGGGGTGTGGGGCATACCAGCCACTTCTTTGGAGGTGGAGCAGGGGCATCAGCAAAGAACACACACACACAAGCATCCACTGGGGAAAATCCCCCACCCCCAATGGTGGAGACCGCCTTGGCTCAGGGTCCTTCCTGGGGGCTCAGAGAGGGGCATCCCACCTGGCTCAGGACACAAACCTCCAGCCCAGGCCTCTGCACCTGTCAGGGTCAGCTGTCAGTGCAGGATCTGATATTCTCCCAACCCTCCAAGGCCTGGGCTCTGCTGCTATCTTTAGTGCTATGTCAGACTCCAGCAGTACGGGACCCTCCCCAGAGGGTTCTGCTGGCTCTTCTCACATTCCCAGCAGCCTCGCTGGTCTCTGACCAACCATGCCATTCCCCCTCAGAGTGGTGTTCCCCATCCTGCAGTGCCCCTCCAGTGTCATAACCAGACCCCACTGGGAACCATGAGGTGCCCTTGCCCTCTGGTCCCGGAGTTCTCACATCTGGTCATGAGTTCTCCTCCGGCGGTCTCCCTCGGGTCCCTCCCAGGCAGCCACACCTCCCTCAGGGTCCTCAACCTTGGGTGCCAGTACTGCCTGAAGACGCTGGCCCTAGGGATCTTAGGAGGTGGCACCTTGCGGAGAGCCATCTATGAACGAGGCTGAGTCCCCTGCAGGCAGGACATCCTACAGTAGGCACTGGCATGGCACTTTTGTCTTTCCAGCTTTGGCAGATATGACATGGCTCAGAGATGTGCTCCCAGACGACCCTGCCCAGCTGTTGTCTGCACCCCTTGCCCATCTCAGCACAGAAAGTGGCTGATGATCAGGGTCCTGCGCCCTGCCAACTCCCACCCAGAGGCAGGCCCTGGGGGTCTCCAAGGACTGATTCTCAGGGATGTGAGCCCCATCTGCCCCACTGCACAATGTGCAGGTTCCTTCCTGACCCTGCGTGGACTGCAGACCCACCCTCTGTCTTCTCCAGCCCTTTATCCCCACCTATGGGCCAGGGTGTCTGGATTCTGACCCTGCAGTGGCCTCCAATATCTGGCACCACCAGCCTACCCCTGAGGCAGGTCCCTTCCCCAGATACTGCCCACGAGGCCATGGGGTAGCAGGAAGGCCTGGGCCCTGGAGGCCCCATCCCAGGCTACGTAGGCAGCCTGGCCCTCTCCAAGGCTTCTTTGTCCCTGTGGGTCAGGCAAGGAGCTCCCTGCCATGAGATCAGAGGGGTGGCCCCAGGCTGGTGTTGTGGGCCATTTTCTGCCACTGAAGCAGGGAGTACAGGATGGTGACATGGAAGCCCCGACACAGAATGTGCTTGACAAAGGCTTGGTGATAACCAGGGCTACTCACAACAGCTTAGTGCAAAGCTGGAAAAGGCGCCCCTTCCTCTGGCTCCTGAACTTCCAGGGTGCCCAGGCCTCAGACGGGAGCGTGGAGGAGAGTCCTCGGGAGGACAAGGCCTCCTGGCCAGAGCTGCCTGGGAGGCTAGGGGCCTCGCTGGGTGGGGTAGGGCGAGGGCATCTGAGTTGTTGCTGGCTGCTGAAACTCACTCTGCAGTTGTCCAGTCCCCTGGGGTGGCCCTGAGCCTGTCCTTGTATGGACTGGCAGCTGAAGTCTGAGCTGTCCTGGGGGACCAAGCGGAAGCTTAAGATGGGGAGACCCAAGCCCTGGGCAGGGAGGGCACAGCTGAATCGCATCACACAGACCCAGCATGGTAAGTGGGCCTCCAGGCAGGCGCCGGTGGGGTGTGTGAGTGAGAAGTGCACCTGCAGGTGGGCGTCTGTGCCTGAGTGTGTGCATATGTGACCATGTGCACAGGCGTGTCTGTGCGTGTATGAGCATGCAGTGTGAGTGGGTGTATGCTGGGGAGTAGAAGATCCTGACTTACGTGAAACCCCAGTACCCAGAGCAAGTCAGCTTGCCCCTTGAGCCCTCAGGGGCTGATTTGGCTTCTGCCCATCTGTGAGCCCTGGCCACTGTGCTCCAACTACCATAGGGAGCAGGGGAGAGGGAGGCCCTGCCCCTCCCCTGCTCCCTATGCCGATGCCAGACACCGGCAGCTGCCCCTGCCCACGTACCCAGGCTTGGGGCCCCTTCTGCCCAGCCCCTCCAGCCCTGATGACTAGGTCCACCTATACTCTGAGGTAAATCTCCCAAAACTCAGAGTGTCCCAGAGGATTTCCTCAGCTGACTGGGACCTCCCAGACACAGTGTTCTCACTTCAGGCCAGCAGAAAGACAAAGAAAAAGGAAGGGGGAGCACTCCGGGCCCAAAGGGCATCATCTAATGTCTTCTCCAACTTCGAGCAGACGCAGATCCAGGAGTTCAAGGAGGTGAGGCTTTTCTTTCACTGGGAGCCCCTTTTTCCAGAAGCATTTGCCGGGAGAACCCCATGTGGGTCTTGTTCCAGGGCCAGTGAGTGGCAGCCTGTCTTCCCTCAGGGTGCCGGGGAGTGGGCAGTGGGGCAGAGCCAGGCCAGCCGCAGCACAGCATCCCTGGCCTTGGTTTCTAGGCGTTCACACTCATGGACCAGAACCGAGATGGCTTCATTGACAAGGAGGACCTGAAGGATACCTACGCTTCCCTGGGTAGGTGCCCAGTCAGATGCCTTGCAGCCCTCAGAGGCCATGTCCTGCCCTTCCTCTTGGAATGAAGCCAGGTCCATGGCCTTGAGGCTGACATGGTGGCCCCACAGGTTGAAAGGGGGTGGCTGCAGCCTCCTCCGTTGATCAGAGCTGGCAGAGAGCTCACCCTGGCAGAGCCCAGGGTGAGATGGGGTGGGTATTATAGCCCAAGAGTGGGAATCTGGGTGGGCTTTGGAACAGGGGCTCCAGGGTAGGGCTGACGCCCCAGTGGGATGCCACGGGCAACCTGGCACTGGGGCTCCAGACATGAACAGCCTGGATGGCGGGCTTCCCTGGTTGGCCTCCAGGCCAGAGAGAGGAGCTGGGAGAAGCCATGGAGACTCTCCTCATCCTCTGCAGAGTAGCTGGACACACAGCTGGGCACATGGCCCTCCCCAGCCTTGGTTCCCCAACCTGAACATTTTGTTCTCAGCAGCTGTCTCTGGTCTGAAGTGGGAGGCCAGGGAGCTTCTTCCCACATGAGCCACCTTCCCTCTTGGCCCCGCTTATGCCCAAGTAAGGAAGACAACAGGTCACAGTATCTCCCCAGCTCTATGCCTCCGCTTCGCTCTCCCCCAACAGTTGGTCTCCTGGGTCTCAGGGTTTGGGGTAAAGCTGACACACCCCAGCCCATACCCCTCACTTCTGGGCCAAGCATTTCCACACCTCCGCACCTCCCTGCCCCACTCCTATGCCTCCGCCCACCTGGCACTGTTCTGGAGTCAGCTGCCGGTAGGACAGCCAACTCAGCAACAACAACACCCAGAGAGGGCAGGGGGTGACGTCCTGCCCCAGTGACACCTGTGTCTGTGACAGGCAAGATCAACGTCAAGGATGACGAGCTGGATGCCATGCTCAAGGAGGCCTCAGGGCCCATCAACTTCACCATGTTTCTGAACCTGTTTGGGGAGAAGCTGAGTGGTAAGTGCTCTGCTGGGTCACCCCTCCCGGTTCATCCTGACATTTTGAAATCCAGACATTCACATGAAATCCCTATTTCCCACATTCAAGAAGCCCTAAGACCCGACATTCTGGGACCCACACCAGGGAAACCCCTGTCGGCCACCCCAGGGCAGGGTGAGCTCAGACATGGTCCCCTCGCCCTACACTCCTGTCTGCCCAACTGAAAGGACCCCTTTTCCCCATTCATGGGGCACCCGCCCCAACTCCAGACCTGGGCTGACCCTGGAGACCCCAAAAAGCTACAGTCGGGGCTCAGGAACAGGAAGGGCCTTCCAGGCAGGGGCACCTCAAAGCAAAGACTTGGATCCCTGGAAGCAGGGCTAGTTCCCTCCTGTTATCTGCCTTGGCAGCCAGGTGCAAGACTGGCACCCTAAGGGCCCCAGACTCAGGGCTTCCTTGTGGCAGGTACGGATGCGGAGGAGACCATCCTAAACGCCTTCAAGATGCTCGATCCCGATGGCAAAGGCAGCATCAACAAGGAGTAGTGAGTGTCAGGTGTGGGGCGGGTGCCCTGACGGTCTCCCCCACTGGGGTCTGAGGGACACCCTGCCCCCCACCTCTAATCAACTTCAGGGCCCCGAGTGGCCCTTTGAGATCCTGAGTCCCTCAGGACAACTAGATAGAAGACTAGCCCTGCCCACACAGGGCCAAGCCCAATGACCCAGGTGTATATCATCCCTGACTACCACTGTGCCTTTCGGCACTTTATGCCAGGCACTGGGAAAGGGAATATTCTGGTGTACCAGACACTTGTCTCCAAACCTCATCAGACGCCCCCCAGGCAATCCCCCAGGAGTGATGACACCCGAGTGCAAGAGTCAGAAAGGGCTCCCAGGTGACCATCAGATGGGAGAACAGGGACCAGATCCTCCTCGGGTCTCCTGAGCAGTCACCACCAGAGGAGCATGAACTGACACTTCCTGGTTGCCTCTGGTCAGGCCCCACACTGACTCCTCTTCCCTGTCTTCAGCATCAAGCGTCTGCTGATGTCCCAGGCTGACAAGATGACAGCAGATGAGGTTTGGCTCGCAGCACCCCCATCCCCTTCCCCCATGACCCTCTGCCAACCTCAAGCATGGCCAGAGGGCAAGGCTCAGCTGGGGTCCACTGGGGGGTGACACAGATCCCCCAGAACTGCAGCATCAAGGTGGGTGGGATTCAGGATACCCAGAACAGGCCCCTGGGGCCTGCCATTTGAACGACAGAACTGGCCCAGAGGAACTAGGTCAGCGGCTGGAGACTACTCAGTGGCCAGTGCTGTGTCCTGGCCCACCCTAGTGCTGGTCTCCTGTCCCTACTCTGCACCCTCAGTACCAGCGGGTGAAACCAAGGCCCTGACACCTGCTAGAGCCCCCCACAAAAACCTCCCCTACACCACACACAGCCCTCCCCCAGGTAGACACTGGGCACCGCTGGCCAACTCAGTAATGGGGAGGGAACATGGGCCCAAAGTTCAGCCCCCACCCCACACCACTCCTCCCTGTGGCCCGCCCCGCCACCCACCCCCAATGTGGCGTGGAAGCTAGACAGAGACGGTTAGAGCTCTGGATTGTAATTCCTCATGAATGGGCCTGAAGAACCCTGGAGCCTGTGAGCCCTTCCATTGCGCCACCTGGGCATGACCCACCCCGAACCCCTGCAGGTGGACCAGATGTTCCAGTTCGCATCCATCGATGCAGCAGGCAACCTGGACTATAAGGCACTGAGCTACGTGATCACCCATGGGGAAGAGAAGGAGGAGTGAGGGCCCCTTGTCCAGGGCCAGTTCAATAAATGTAGATCCCACACACACCTGCCTGAGTGTTGCCTGGGGCGGGGTGGGGGCATCAGCGGTGGGCAGAGGTGGGCGACTCCGGGACCAGCCCTTCCAGCAAGGTCCTCTCCACACCTGTCTTCTCTGTCTGGCTCTTCTGAGTCCTCAGGACCCCCATCCTTCCTGCTATCTCCAGCATGCTCCTCTGCCAGGTCAACCCCCTGCTGCCCCTAGTCTGGCCTGGCCACTGGCATCCTGCCTGTTATCGTCACAGCTGCTTGGTCGACCCTGGCTGCACTAAGGACTCGAGTCCCTGCGGTGGGCTCTCAGCCTTGGTTGGCACCACCTGGGGGACCCAAGCCTGCCTCTTCACCCTCCCCTTCACCACGTCCCCGGTCACAGTCTCTGCAAGTCTGGGGACTCCCAGAGGAGGAGGCAGGGCCCAGAGAACTGGCTCCAGGAATCAGCTGCCGCTGGGCTTCCTGCAGCTTCTCACCCGGGAGTGCTGTGCCAGGGGCCTCAGAGCTGGTTTCAGGGTGAGATACCCGGTCTTCGGCACCTGGGCACACATCCAGGGTGGAGGGAGACAGGCCAGACTCAGCCTGCAGGCGCAGGTATGGGGGGTGGAAGAAGAGTACCAGGACGCAGCTGAAGAGGGTGCACAGGCCAGCCATCAGCAGCAGGGACACTGGGGACACATGCACAACTTTGACCCTGCATTTCACCAGAGCAGCCCAAACTTCCCACATGGTGTCGCAGCCACACCCAGCAGCCACAGATGGGCAGAGGTCAATAGGTGATGCTGACCCTTGCTGAGCCCCCAGCCACGACCCCAGAGCACCCAGTCTCAGAGCCCGGCCCCAGTCTGACAGGCCCCCAGGGGGTGTTTGCAGACTCAGGTCCCGAGATCCATGAGCTCTGAGGTCACCAGCACAGGGTCTGGGGGTGTGGGTGTGCAGGCCCTCCTCTGCCCCACTCTTGCCCTGTTCTCCGTTTCCTCTCAGAGCTCCGCCTCTGTGTCTCTCTCTCTGTTTCTTCTTCTCTTTCCCTGGCTTCAAAACACCTCACACAGGAGGTTGAGTTTTCATCAGGTCACCCATCATGCTGAGCCCAGGCTTCTGCCTGTTGACCTCTGACCCAACCCAGTACCCACCCAAGGAGAACCAGTGGTGCCAAGAGGGTTCCATGGAGGGTGGGGACTCACCTGTCCAGTCGAGCGGGTCCTCCCCATGCTGGCAGGTGGAGAAGGATGGCTCCGAGTGACGCACAGACAGTGCCGTCAACGCCACCATGATGAGCACGCCCTCGGCCTGCCTAGACATGCACAGCCCTCAGCCCCTGGGGCACTGCTCACCCATCAGAGCTGGACGCCGCCCAGGAAGTGCCCACACCTATGCCGCCCACTGTGCCACCCACCCCCAGAGGGCAGCTCATAGCTCCAGTCAGCGTGGGCCCTGGTACTGAGCCAGGCCTACCCCACAGCAGGGGCTCAGCAGGCGAGCACCTGCAGGTCAGTTCCCTTCAGCCTGGGGTGGGGTGAAGGGAGAGTCTCTGGGCCCTGAGCATGAGGCAGGTGGACACTCACCCCAGCACAAAGACCAGGCCTGCGGCAGCCCCTTCTCCCACAGGGAAGGAGCATTCAACAGCCAGCTCCATGGCCACTGGTGCCACTGAGAAGCCAAAGAGCCCCAGCAGTGAGCAGATGGTGGCCAGGGCCAGGGTCTGTCCCCGTAGTCGGGATACCTGGAAGCCACAGAATGGCAGAGGAACAGTTGGCAGTTAGATGTGTGGTGTCCTGAGCAAGCACTGGACTCAGTGTGTGGAGTGGGGAAGGCCACCCTTCCACCCAGGGACCACCCTGACAGGCAGAGGCCAAGCAAATCCAGACATCTGCCATAGCCAAGCCACTTATTGCCATGTCCAGGCAGGACCCTCCCACCCCTGCAGGGTGGTCTTGGCCTGAGGGGCCTCTCACCAGAGCAAAGGCCACGCAGGCCAAGGAGGTCAGGCAGAGACTGATCTTGGTGGCCTCGGTGAAGCGCTTGGTCCGGTCCACATAGAGGCCAAGCACCAGTGCCCCCAGGATCCCAAACACAATGAAAAGAGCCCCACAGAGGCCTGAAAACTCCTGGGGGAGGAGAGGGAAGGCCAAGGCACTGTCATCAGAGCAGGGGGCCACCATCCTAGGACATATGCTGTCACCGGGAGGCTTGTGGCCAGGCCACCAAGCTGTGCCCAAAGCCCAAGCATAACAACACTGACAGGCTGCTGCTACACCCTTGGCTGCCTGCGGGGTATGGGGAATCGACTGTCCAGTGGTCAGATGTTCCCCCACCCCAGGAGCAAAACTATCGCTAAAGGGAAAGGCCTGTCTCTCCAACAGCCCACAGGCCCTTGGTGCCTGTGGGCCTTTAGTAAAGGCAGAAACATGTCCCCAAGCCCCACATCCAGCACTGATGCGAGGGCAGAGAGCAAAGGCCAAACAAGTCAGAGGGCATGTCTGGCCTCCCCTCTGCATCTCCAAACACCAGAGGGTGCCCTTCCCTGGAGACCTGTGAGTGGAGCCCTGCTGGGAATGGGCAGGGGAAAGATGGCAATGCGTCCACTGGCAGAGTCCCAGTGCCACCTCTCCATCCATGGGGACACGTCAGCTCCACCACTGCAACCCATGACTGCTGCACCTGCCACCACCACCCCCAAAGACATGGCCTCAGGTGCAGCCGTTCAGGACCCCACAGCCTGGAGGATGCCCGTGTTACCCCAGCAGGGCTGGGCACTGAGTGCTCGGGAGGTGTGGCGACTCGGCACGGGTGGGTAGTGAAGCCAGAACCCTCCGTGTGCGGGGCCCAGGCTCACGTTGGAGTAGCCGCTCCCACAGAGGATCTGTTCCAAGAGGGCTGAGAAGCTGGAGAAGATCCCGATGCCGCCCCCGAAGCACACAGCCAGGATGACGTAAGCCTTGTTCCGCACGAGCTGGGGGAAGAGGCCTCTCAGCCCAGAGCCCCTGGAGAGCCACCCAGTGGGAGGGCCACCTGGCTCCGTGCGGCTCTGACCAGGGCCTGCCTGACCCGACCCTCCCAGCCTCCTGCCCCCATCCCAACCCCGGATCTTGCAGCACCAACCAGCTTGAGCCCATCCAGGAACTTCTCCGAGGTGGAGCTGGCAGCCCCGGCGGATGGTGGAGTCGGGGGCACACTCTCCCAGAGGCAGGCAGTGGCCAGCAGGCAGGCAAGGGCAGCGGGGAGGGGGTAGATGCCAAGCTGGGGAGGGGGCACATGTCACAGGGAGGCCACACTGACAGGCGCACAGCACTCAGGCTGCCCGGGCTCCCAGGAATCACCCTCCCAGCTCCAGCCGCCATAATGAGTTCCCGGGTCTAGGCAGGCCTGCCTTGCTTCATCCACACCTGCTTGGGGCTCATGTGGACCCAGCCTCCTGGGTGATGTCACCTGACCTCCCCCAGCTCCAGACTCACCTGTCTCACTGCAACTGCACACACATAAAAAGCAGGTTGCAAAGCAGCCAGTGTGTCACATGGACAGGTGAAGGTGCACAGGTGTGCATGTGCACACACACCACACTCGATACATATGCACAAGCACACAGAGACACACCACACACATGCACAGATACCCACACACACTCACTACATACACACAAGCACATGTGTGCACATATCACATACATGCACAGGCACACATAGGCACACAGACATATCACATGCTAGATACATGTGTGTGGGCACACATATGCATAGCTACATGCCTGTGCACACATACTAGATACTCATGCATGGACACACATGTGCACAGATACACAGAGACATGTGCGCACATAGCACACACTAGACACATTTGTGAACACACATGTACATGCATGTATACAGGTATACACATGTGTGCACATACCACATGCAAACACACCACATATAGCACCGGGTGAGCTCCCTCACCATTATGGGAATGTCCTCGCTCTTCTTGACCAGTGCAGGAGACAGCACATTGGCTACAAGGATGCCCAGGGGGTTTGCTGGATGGACAGACGGGCAGAGTGAGTCAGCCCCACCGCAGCCCGGCTACATCCCCAGCTCCCAATGCCTGAGGCTGGGCCCAGAACCCAGGGGCAGAGGATCTGTCCGCAGAGCCAGCAGGGGTCCCGGGCTGGCCCAGGCAGGCAGACAGTCCCCCAGACTCACACATGGTGGCGATCATGTTGGCCATGGCTCTCTGGTGCTCTGGGAACCACAAAGCAGCTAGCTTGGTCGGAGAGAAGATGACCAGAGTCTGGGCCAGGGCACAGAGACTCTGGCCACCCATGAAGAAGACAAATGGATCAGGGGTCCTGCCGGTCACACAGGGCAGGGTGCGTAGTACACTCCCGGCAAAGTTCAGCCATGCGCCCAGGATGGTCTGCAGGGATGAGGTCAGGAGTGCTGCCACCAGCCCAGACACTCCCAGTGCCCAGATGCCCGTCCTTTCAGCACCTGCCAGGGGGCCAGTAGACCCTGGCCTGGGGAGGAGAGGATGACTCTCATCCCCAAATGCAGGGACCCCACCCCATCCCAGGGTGGGCCATGGTGTGGGATCTGACTCACCGCCCCGCGGAGCCCAACGAAGTCCAGTACCCAGATGGCCACCAAACCGAATGGGATGGACACCACGAGGTAGACCAGTGAGAGCCAGTTGATCTGCTCCATAGACAGGAGGAAGTGCGTAGCGATGGTGTCGGCCACAGGCGCGAAGCTGAGCCACAGCTGCAGGGACATGTGGGAATCAGCCAGGACCACAGACACTGCCTGCCAGCCTCCGGCCCCAGCCAGCCCCAGGGAGAGAGTGTTAGCAGGCCTGTGAGGGCCATGGGGACACAGCATGGTTGGACGCCCCCATCCTGTCACTTGAGGGAGGGTACCCAGTGGCAGGGTAGGAGAGTTTACTGACGGTGGACCAGCATAGGGGCAGACACTGAGGCCCAGGATTGGCCAGAGCCTGTGGGACTATGAACCCCGCCAGGACCGGACCTGGTCTTCCAAGTAGGCTGAGGGTGTCCACCGGGAATCACCAAAGCTGCCTATAGAGGAAGAAGGCAGCGAGTAGCCTACATCAATGAAGAGGAACTGTCACAATCAAAGGTCATGGTTCTCCAGCTCTGAGGATGTAAGCGTTCCAGCCACACACCCACCGGGGCAGAGCAGCAAGATCCCGGCTTCCTGACCACTGAGCCTCATGTGACACCAGCCACCTCTTCTTCCTTTTTTCTCAGGATAGTGCAAGGGTCAGATGTTCCAGACTCGGAAGGGGCCACACCCAGGCCCAGCCACTTCCTGCCTGGACTAGTCCAGGGAGAGAAAAAGGGGTAGACATCCATCCACACAGCCAGCTCATGCCTGGCCAGGCTCACGGTGCTCTCCTCATCCTCCCCGAGTGGAGGCCCATAGCTGGATGGGCAGAGATGAGTCTACAACACGCGGGCAATAAGGGGAAGATAATTTGTCCCACTTACCTGTTGTCCAAGAGTCTCCACCTCCTGCACCCTGCCTCGTCACCCTGACTTGCCCCCCATGTCCTCTGGGCATGCCAGCAGCTGCCCACTCATGGCTTTCATCCAGAATGCCGGCTCTTTCCTTGGGGCTGTCACAAGGCCCCTCTGGGTCACATCCTTGCTCTGCTCCACACTCCCTGAGCTGCCCTCTCAGAACCTGGGCACCCCGGTCACAGCGGTGGACCAGTGACTTCGGGTCTCGGGACGCCAGGCAGGGTGGACGTGGCGCTCACGGCTCACCAAGGTGACCCATGCAGGGATCACAGTTCTTGGTGTCAGGGTGAGATTTTTGTTTGCTCCATGACAACTTTAGATAAAATGCTGAGGAACTGCAGCAGAATGCCCTCAAGTGTCCGAGGAGTTTCTCACACTCACCACTCCCACTGACCCTCAGGCCCATCACAGCAGCTCTGAGCCCTCAGACACTGCACCCAAAGCCAGCCATGTATTCTATAGCATCAGGACAGGGGACCAGGGAGCCACATCACAGTGGTGAGTCACGGCTCATGCGGGCCTCGGTGGGCCGAGAAAAGAGGTTTCTAAAGTCCCTGCAGAACCCAGGCCCATGCAGTGAGGGCATCCTTCTGGGTACAGGGCTGGCTCTCTATACCCTGCCAGAGGAAAAAGGGGGCCCTGGATCCATTGCAGGTGTTTCCAGTGAAGTAGCCAACACTCCTGGGATGCAGCCCAGTCCTGCTCGCTGGTCAGTCTTCCCGGCTATCCCACAGTGTCAGTCCTGCACCTCCCAGAGCTGCATTGCCAAATGCTGCCCAAACACTTCCTGAGGTTCTCTGGGAGGGAGGGAAGGAGAGGTGCAGCCTGGGAGCACAGTGTAGTAGGATGGACCTACTCACAGTCAGACAGCGGGAATGGTGGCTCCAAGCCCCCCGGCCGACACATTTGTCTTAGGGGCCTGGGGGCGACCAGTCCTGGGCAGGGGGGCATGGTGGAAGGCTCACTACAAAGCCCTCTGTATGTGATGGACTGGGGAGAGGGACCCCAGGCTTCTAGCTGGAGCAACTGAGAATGGGGAGGGGCTGCAGGGAAGAAGTAGGTGGGAGGTGGGGACGGGGCTGGCAGACCCGGGGTCACTTGCTGATCCCAGAGGCACTGGCCCTGCTCTGTGCCTGGGCCCAGCCACCTCAGGACAGACACGTGCCCCTTTCTCCTGGCACCAGTCACGGCCAGAAGAAGGATCCCTCAGTCCCCAGCACATGACCTGGCACAGGAAAATGCGGCTGCTGCCACAGGAAAATGAAGTCCAGCTGGACCCAGGACAGAGCCACCAGCTAAGGTGTCGGACCCCATCCCCACAGCCCATGCCCCTCACTCCCCACCCCCTAGCCCTAGCCCCAGCCCCAGCCGTACCATGGCGTTGGAGCAGCTGAGCAAGCTGACGGCCAGCAGGAAGAGCCAGCGGCGTGTGTAGACACGGTAGCCCTGAGGTGGACCCCGAGCCTGGGTCAGGGTGTCCCCTGGCCCGTCCCCAGCTGCCGCTTCCCCATCCCCGACCAGCCCTGCCATTGCCTGTAGTGCCTAGCCTGTCCCTGGTCTCAGGACTTAAGGAGCTCCCTGAGCGGGCTGGGACGTCCCAAGGAGGTGGGGCCGGACAGGCGGGGCATTTGGGCCAGTCTCCGCCCTGAATGACTTCACCAGTCTGTGAGGTTAGGCCCTCCTCCTCCTCAGCCTGGAAGTTCCTGCCACACAAACAAGGGCAAAGTCCCCTCCTGCAGGGGCCCACCAGGTCACAACCTGTGTGCCCCCCACCCTTGGACACGCCTATGGGATGGGTGCAGGAAAGGTGTCCTTGAAATCACCCTGCTCCAGCCGGTCTGCATTTTCTGCATTCCCAGATTCCTAATGTTCATGCCGGCCTCCGGCTATCGGGAGAGGTCAGAGGCTGCCTGAGTAGGAGGCTGGGATCAGTTTGCAAAGAACTTCAAATTAGACTAGTTGCTAGGGCTGCCCCAGTGGGGAAGCAAAGACTGAGGGGAGGAGGGTATTGTTGGTGAAGACCATGCCTGAGCTTTTTTTTTTCTCTTATCCAAATTCCTAACCACAGGCTCAGGGAGTCATGCCTGATAAGTCACCAGACAGGGTTTTATTGCCCTGTTACCCTATCTACTAAGAAGTCTGTTTTCCAATCTGACTCCAGCATAATGTCAAATAACAAATAAAGAAGGAAATAAATGTTGTGGCCCTGCTCTTGGTGACTCCAGGAAACTTGTAAAACACATCTATCCTCTCAGAAGTCTGCTACATATAGGACTTTATCTACACATCAACAGACCTCTACTGAGTTCCAAAATTCCTTAGATGGGAACTACAAATTACCAGTCAATAAATCTTTAAATTGCCCTATGACCTGTAAGCCCCCAACTCCCACGCCCTGGTCCCCCCCAGCCCCACTTGAGAATGCCCCTCCTTCCTGGACCAAACCAATGAAAATCTCACATGTACTGATGTATGGTTTCTTGCAACTTCTGCCTTCCTAAAATGCATATAAACAAGCTACCGTTCAACAGGGGCGGGCACGCATTCTCAGGACATCTGAGGATGGGCATTCCAGGCTGAAGCCCTCAAGTTTGGGTCAGAGTAAACCATCTCAAAATATTTTACAGTTTGACCTATTTTCATCAACACTGGCCAGGAGGAGGGGCAGGAAGTCCAAGAGGAGCCTGCCTGCTCTCACGGGTTGGCAGTCCCACACTTGCTATGCTGTTGTCTGCACTTTACAGTTGTAGAAACAGCTGGACAGAGGAGTAGGTGCAGGTTTCTGTTTGCCTGGGATGGAGAGGCCTGTGGGTGGAAAGGCAGAGAGGACGGGAGTCTCAGCTTGCCTTGTCTGCAAGAGCATGCTGCCCCCACACCTGCTCGTCGTGGGGGAGCCCAAGGGACTTTAGCCCTGTCCCTCAGGCCAGTGTGGGGTGGGGTGGGGTGGAGGCTGGCCTGGTCAGAGGCACACAAACACATCTTGGCTCTGAGATTCACAATATTAATCCTGCTTTTTGTCTTAAACCTTCCTCCACTTTGACAGGTCCCATCAGTCCTTCACAACTGAGTCTGACAGGCTGATTGTGAGGTTCTGGCTTTTGCAGGGGGTTCTTATGGGGGGGACTGTGTGTGTTGGTTGGAGTTGCCCACTGTGGGGTTTCTTTTGTGGTGTCCCATCCAGTAACAAAGAGAAAATGGGGATTCCCTGGGAGTGCCCCGAGGAGGCTGGGCCTGAGGCAGTCCCACCTCTGTGGCCTGTGATGGGGTCTCAGGGTGCTCTCCTCCTCAACCCTCTGTCTTCCCACTTGGCTTTATTCCCCCATCTCATTGTCCCCCTCACCTTTGTCTCCCTCATCTCTTCCTCCTCAGCCCTTGCTTACCCCTTCTCTGAGAATGGGCCTTCTCACAGTCTTCCTCCAGGGCCTGGCACTACCATTATTCCAGGGACTTCAATGACCCCCCCACCCACGCACTCCACCTGGCAGAAGGGAAAGGACCTGGTTTAGGTGGAACTCTGTCTCTTACCAACTGCAGGTCCAGCTGGGGTGTGAGCCTGTCACCATACAATGAGGCAGCTACTTACTGCATCATCATGTCTCCGGTGAGCATGGACTATGGGGAGCTCCTCCTCCCCATCACTCAGGGTTCTTGGTTGAGTAGGTGGGCTCAGCAAGGTTCAGGATGTAAGATCCACACACAACGGATGATCACTTGATACACAAAACAAGAAACATTTGGAACTCCAAACTAAAGACATAATACAATTCACAATTACTTCAAAGAAAGTTAAATACTTGGGTGTAAACTTAAAAACCATGTACAAGACTCGTATGCTAAAAATTTTACAATATAAATGAAAGAAATAAACAAATGCCTAAGTAAATGGAGAGGAATGCAATGTTCATGGATTGGAAAACTCAACATAGAAAAGATGTCAGCTCTCTCTAAGCTATCTATAGGTTTAATGCAATTCCTTCAAAAGGTTCATGTACACATAGACTGGGAAAAATATTTGCAAACCACGTATCCAAGAAAGTTCTGGTATTGAGGATATATGAAGAGCCCTCAAAACTCAACAGTTAAAAAATCCAATTAAAAATAGGGCAAAAGAATATGAAGAAATATTTTGCTGAAAAGGATACACTAATGACAAATAATGATGAATGAATAATATCATTAGCCATTAGGAAAATGCACATTGTCACCTTTCAAAATGGCTAAAATAAAAAACGGTGATAATCCCAAATACTGACAAGGCTGCTAAGAAAATAAATGTTACAACCACTGTGGAAGACAATGACAGTTTCTCACAAAACTGAACATGCAATTAATATACAGCTCAGCAATTATGCGCCTGGGCATCTATCACAGAGAAATAAAACCTTATGTTCATCCAAAAACCTGTGCCCAAATGTTCCTAGCAGCTTTACTTGTGAGAGCCAAAAATTGGAAACAGCCCAGATGTTCTTTAGGAGGCGAATGGTTAAGCAAACTGTGGTATACACCCAAACCACAACATATTACTCAGTAGGAATGAACTGTTAGCACATGCAACAACCCACACGAATCTTCAGGTAATTATGCAGTTAACCTAGAAGGTTAACTACTCTAGGGTTCCATTTATGTCACATTTTTTTAAAGATACCATTTTAGAAATGGAGAACAGATGAGAGGTTGCCAGAGTTTATGAACTGGTAGACGGGGTGGCAGGAGGGATATGGTAAAAAGGGGCAACAGGTGGCCTTCCTGTGGTGTGGACATGTTCTGCATCTTGACTGTGGCAGTGGAGTCATGGACCCACACATGTGATATGTCTGTGTGCAGCTGAGTACACACATGCACACTCGCACACAACTGGAGACATTGAGTGGGGTGGGAGGACTGTGCCAACGTCAGCATCATGGGTGTAGTGCATTTGTGTTCTACAAGACATTACCTTTGGGGGGAAACTGGGCAAAGGGATCTCTCTGTATTAGTTCCTCAACTGCATGTGAATCTACAATTAACTCAAAATGAGAAGCTTCATATTTTAAAAATCACATAACATGCAAAGTCCATTCATGAGGAAACAGTGACATTTCCCACTCTCATATGTAGTGAAACAATTTTGTGTAAATTCTCGACAAAGGTGAGCATCTCTGTTGCTTGAATCTTGAATCCAGGGATAGCTCCATTCAGAGACTGTCACCCTGAGCCCAGAAGCCATCCGTGTACCTTTGGGATGGTGATCTCCACACAGAGGCGCCGAGTATCTTGCTTTTGAAAACGATCCTCAAAGGCTGTTTAAAACAACATTCAACACACACAGTTACGGATAAGCCTGTGCTTTACTGTCTTTATCTCTTTTTTTAAATCCAAATGCAGACTTCTATCAGCATCCCAGCCTAACACTAAGTGAGGCTGCTTCAGGCTAATGTATCTTCCCTAAACAGTAGCTTGTTCAAAACCAAGCCACTGAGAACAATTGCTTTGCCAAAAGCTGGAGCATTAGGCCAGATACCTTTTCTGGGGATGGTGTCATGGAGGAAATCTTACCCTCAACGATGAGATGGCCCGGGCTTGTGCTATTTGTTGGTTTACTGGGTTTTTGTCTTTTCCTCCCAGAGAACGTAAGTGATATGGGGGCAGGAGCCTGCCCACACAGCCTCTCCGGGGTACAGACTGGCAGCACGGGGCCTGGGTAAAAATAGGCACCTTGTGGGCGCGTGCCCTCTCTGCTGGGCAAGTTCCTCTTCCTTCCCTCACATACATCCTGGACAGAGCCTCCTGGACCTGTCTGGTCCCAGAAGCACACTTGGATACCACCTCATGCCACACACATCCACACAATGACTCATACCTGTCCCTTGCACCTCCCTCCAGATTCTGGCTGCTGAAAGCCCTTATGCAGTACCAACCCACAGCAGAGACCAGTCAGCCACCAGCACCCACTCTCAGGTTTCCCCAGAAAGGATGACATGACTTCATGCTCATGGATGTGGAAGGCCCTGGAATAGTCCCCTGCTTATTTACTTAGACAAGAGAAGGCTCTGGCCAATGCTGCCAGACTCCAGTCAGCCACCAGGAGAGAAGCCCTGGAGGGCTGCCTCCTGTCTGCCCAGCATGGGAGCTCATGTGAGCCCAGAGACACGGCACTGAGTATCCGGGGCCCCACCTAGCCCTCCTTGGAGGACTCCAGAGTCTGATCTGTCTCCGCTCCCCAGACTGATTCAGTTTAAATGGTTGAACGAACTGGTGTACTTGTGTGTGTGTCATATGAGACGGGCAATACGTTGTATATGTGTGATATGAGATGGCATTGTGTTTGTGTGTGTGTGTCATGAGGAGATCTTCGATTTTGTGTGTGTGCAGGGCTTAAACTGTTCTCTAAATAGCTTTGTATATTGTGCGATTAGGTGTCTACCTTCCTGTTGCATGGTGTGAAGTATTTGTGTGCGTGTGTGTGTGTGTGTGTGTGTGTGTGTGTGTGTGTGTGTACACGTGTATGTGTGTGTGGTGGGTGTCTCATTTTTGGGGGTAGGGCCTGATAC